CCACCGGCTGCCATACCACCCCTGAGGGGATGGGGACCAGGGCTGCCGTGTTCCTGCTGCCAGCCCCACGCACCCCTGCCCAGGGGAGCCTCCACGCTCCCCCACCAGCCTCCGACACGGCCGGAAAAGAAAATTGGCTGAGCTCCCAGTGAGGGCAGCCTCTGCCGCACCCCTCCACTCTTGCAAATCTCTCTTCGCTCCGAAACATCTCTCCCATCGGAGCAGCCCGGTCACCGTGTCCTGCCGCCTTATTTCTTCTCCCCTTGCCCGTCCCCAGCTGGCGTCTCGGGCTCCCACAGGACGAACTCATGGAGTAGCGTGTTCACCGTCTCGGGACACTCCATCATCACCATGTGGCTGCCCTCGTCGATCACCTTCAGGAAGGCAATCAGCAGGATCTGGAGGGAGACGGTGGCAGTGGCAGGCATCAGTGCCAGGATGAGCCCCCTGCCCACATCGCCACATGCTGGCAGGCAGACCCCAGACCTCATCCACCCCCCCAGCCCCGCTGGGTCTCCTACCTCGGCCATTCGCTGGTCCTCCTCCACCGGGACGAACTTGTCGTGCATGCCGTGGACCAGGAGCACGGGCACGGCCAGCTCTGCGTGGTAAACCTCGTCACCCTCCGGCCAGTACTGCCCGCTCATCATGGCACGCAGCACGAAGGAGGACACGTTGAAGGCATTGCCTTCCTTCAGCAGCTGCTTCTCTTTGGCACCCTGGCGAGCGAAGCCGGCCCTGTGGGATGGAGCCGGCACAGGCAGAGGGTTAGCCCAGCGCAGTGCCTTGGCATCGGGGGGACAGGAGCACGGGGGACACTGCTGGTGGGATGCAGTGTCCCTGCCTGTGGTGGCTGGAAGCCAGGTTGGCTGGGGACAACCATCCCCAGCGCCGTGGTGCCGGGGCGGCCACTCACTTGAGGAAGCTCCAGGCCAGGCACGGGGACAGGCAGTGCAGCACGCAGGTGGGCATGTTGAAGATGGAGCAGAGACTGGGCTCCAGCGCCGTTGGGCCCCCTCCGTTGATCATGATCACCTTATGGACCAGGTCTGGGTACTCGTGGGCGAGGAAGGTGCAGAAGGACACCCTGCAGGGAGAGGCAGATGTGGGGGCCACGCTCCAGCCCCAGAGGATGCTGCATCCCAAGGCAGATTCCAAGGATCCATGGCTGGAGCCTAGGTTACAGCCCTTTGTTTGACCCACGCTCCCCCTTTCTGGGGCAGGGTAACCTGCAGAGCCCGGGCAGAGGGGCTGAGCTCGGGGCTTTGCTCCTACGCAGACCAAAGCGGGGTGCTGGGACCTGCTTGGGTGCCTGCCAGCCTGGACCAGCCTTGTCCTTCTGATCTAATCCTAACCAGCTCGGAGCCCGTCTCCAGCTCCCTCTCCTCCCAGCCCTGCTCTCTGCACTGCTTAGTCTCCATCTAATTGACTTTCTTGGGCTTACTCTATTTATAGGCTGTGCTCTGCCAGCTTCCCTGCTGGAGGACAGGCTCTGGGATTAGCTGGACCCAGGGACACACACCAAGAGGATGTAGGAGATCAGAGCTGAGGGATAAACCCAGAAGGGGAAACCCCACACCCCTCCTCTGCTTCCCAGGCCCTGAAGTGCAGGGTTTGTTGGGCATTTGCTGCCAAGGAGAGGATGGGGCAGGGATGAATCCATCCCTTCCCTCCTGGGACCCCACCCGGTCCCTTACCCGTATGAGTGTCCTATCAAGATATTCCTCTTCTTCGCATAGCGTTTGAAGACGGCCCTCATGTCCTCCGCCAGCGCGTAGAAGGTGTACGCGGCGGCAATTTGGGGAGCTGAGCTGCAGCCGTGGCCAGCCAGGTCGGGAGCCACCACTTCATAGCCCAGCTTGGTAAAGAAGTCCAGCTGTTCCTTCCAGATGTCCAGCGAGCCGCCCACGCCGTGGATGAAGAAGAGGACCACGTCGCTGTGTGTCCCTTTGCAGCTTGTGATCTGCTTCTTGCAGTCGATGTTGACGACTTTCTTGGGTTTACGCTTCCGACGCTTGCCGGGGGCAGTGGCTGCTTCCCGCGTGCCACATCCCGGTGTGCTGGCAGGACCCTGGGCCGGAGCTTGGCCAGCCAGGTCGGAGAGCTCCAGCTCCACAGTGCTGTTGGGTTCCCCCGAGCTGTTCTGGCAATGCAGGATCTCGGAGCGGACGGCGTCCCCCAGGTTCTCGATCACCAGCTGCCCGTTGCGGTAGACGGTGATCTTGCGTTTGCAGTGCACCGTGCCCCGCTCCAGCCCCCCGGGCTGGGTCTCCTCGGGTCCCTCCGGGGCCGGGCGGTTGGGCGCACTGTGCCTGACCCGCAGGATCCTCCCCGGCTTCACCTCCATGAAGCTGTAGCCGTTGCTGGACTCAACGCTGTCCAGCGGCCCCACGGCGTTCGTCGTCTTGCCCATCAGGCAGCACAGGAGCCCATCGGTGATGCTGTTCAGCATTATGCTCCCTGCAACGAAGGCAAGAAGGGGGGGCAGGAGAAGGGGGGGTTAGTCACCAGCTCCAGCACCCAGCGGGGACCTGCTGGGGGTCCTGGCTGTGGCACAGGGGACCAGGGGCTGCCCCCTTCCCCCTTGCTTTGCTGCCAGCCCCAGGCAAAGCCACAGCAGCACGAGCGAGGGCAAAACGTGCCTCTGGGGATGCATCGGGGGGTGAACACGGTGCTCCCCAAATGCACAGCCCTCTTCAGCCACCTGCTTCTGTTTCAGATCAAAGATGGACCTAGCGCTCCCCATCCAGCTTTGTCTGGGCCATGTCCCTGTCACCGAGCCGGTGCGACGTACGCTGGCCCAGCAAAGATGAACTCGAGCGGCCGCAAACCCATGCAGTCCCTGGCACGCAGCCGCAGGCCTCTGAGAAGGGATCTGCTCCGGCCAAGGAACGCGCAAAGAAAAAGCCTGTTTGAAATGAAAATGCTATTTCTGGCACCAAATATGGAGCTAAGGAAAGATTCAGCTATGAAAATGCATTATTTATACCAATTAAATATATATGTGCATCTCTAGTCTAAACCACCAATACAAACAGCGAGAGATGGAAATTACAGGGACTGGAGATGAAGGTTTAATTAAAAGTCACTTCACAAACCAAGGCTGAAAATAAGACGGCAAGAGAACAGGGAGGGGGGGGCAGTGACCCAGTGCCTGATTGTGGGGTGGGGAACCCCCTCCCCACATCCCCACGCGGCCTGGGGGGGGACATGGCACCATCCTTGCTGTCCCCAAGGCTCATTCCTTAACATTTGCTTTTCCAGATGGTGGCTTTAGGAGAAGGCGGCAGACTCCAGGACCACCAGGCCCGGCTGAGAGCGAAGCCAGGGGTGAGCAAAGGCAGATACGAGGTAGGAAAGGCTGGTGGCACCGGGGGCGTGGGTGCCGGGACCAGAGCCCGACGCCGTCCCGGCGGTGCCGAGGGTGGCTGCGGAGGGGGCTGGGGAAGTCCACGATGCATGTTTATTATTGATGAAGCTAAACACAGTGAATTATTGATGCCGACGAGCAGAGAGGCAGAGCGGGCGCTGCGCAGTGGGGCTGGCCCTGCCGGAGGGGACACCGGCTGCTCCCCCCCCCAAGCAGAGGCTGCAGGAACCCACCACGGCCCCTGCGGAGGGAAGCCGAAGCGAAGGAAAAGCATGTTCCCACGGGGGAATTTAACATCTAAATCCCAGCGACGCTGTCGGGAGCAGCCCCCTTAGCTCCCCGGACAGCCCCTTCAAGTGCACCCAGCAGGATTACAAGCGCTTTGCTGGCAGACCGTGCAAAACAAAGCGAGGGACGGAGGCAGGCTGGGAGCTCGCTCTGCGGCTTTTATCATGCACTACGTTTAGGGAAGCCAACACCGTGCCCTCCTCAGAGACCCCTACAGACCCCAACATGCCCAGCCTGGCCCCTGCACGCTCCTGGGGACCAGACGGGCTTGGCCGAGAGCCACCGGACGGTGGGGAGCCCGCGCGCTCCGGCCCCAGCCCGACACACGGCTCATGGGTTTCCCCAGGAAAAACCAGCCTGCTTGCTCCAGGCAAGGGAGCTGGGTAACGGTTCCCTTGGCAAAGCTGGAGCCGCTTATCCGGGGAGTGCTGCCAGCCCTCGGGACAGCAGCCAGCGTTTGATTCTTGCCCGGCTCTGCTGGGGACAGTGGCCTGACTCCCACGCAAGGCTCTGGGTGCTGAATTGTAGGGACTGGACATGCAGCAAAGCCGGTCCTGGGTGCTCCTTCTCCTTGCCACTGGCCGGGGGGCTCCTCCCGACGCGGGGCACGGCAGTCCCAGCTCTCCGTGGTTTGGCACCTGGGCTAGCATCGGCCATCTCTCCTCTGGACACGGGCACATCCGTGCGGGATGTGGCTCAGGCCTCATGTTGATGATCTCTCCCCTGGGCACAAGCACGTCCATGCAGGATGTGGCTCAGGTCCTACAACACCAAGAGCTTTCCCGCAGCCCCCTGGCTGGCCGAGCACTGTGCTGAACAGCCAGCAGGCTCCCATCGCCGCTCTGGGGATGGACACATCTGAGCTGATGAGCACAAGCAGGAGGTCTCGGCACCCTGGGGAGGATAAACTAAATCCAGACCTGGCTGGCAAGGGGCTGGTCTGCGCTGCTGAGCCACACTTAGATGGGTGAGGAGCCTGAGGAGCTGGGTACCAGACTGGCTGGAGCCCTGGCTGGAAGGTGCCCAGCAGCCTCTGCACCGGGATGGACACGCCGCTGCTCTTGCCATGCTTTCCAGCACCAGCTTGGTGCCAGTTTTGGGCTGCTCTTGATCCTTGAGCAGCTCTGAGCTGGTAAGACTGAACAGGGAGATGGGGAAAACCTGGGGGGAGAGGGGAAACCAGGCAGTCCCTGAGCCTCGCAGTCCCCACGAGCACGACTGTGAGCCCCCTGCCAGCTCTGCCCGTGGCTGGGAGGCTGCATCCTGCATCTGCACCGGGTACGGTTCCCCCCGGGCTCAGCCTGTGGGACCTGGACGTGATTCTGCCTCTGATTTCCATAAAGCCTGGCTTTGCGCTGCGCCTCCATTTCACAAGGTACTAATGATGTCTGTATGGATTATAAACAGGACTTCTGGCCAAACCGCCTCGACATTGATTAACTTCTCAGGATTAACTCAATCAGTCCATCCTGTTCATTTCCAGAATTGATTTGCTGGAAGGCTCTGGCAGTCAGGAGCTCTGCAGGCAGATCCAGGAGCCCAGGCTCGGCCACGGAGCTGCCCTCCAACCTCATGGCACATCCCGGTCGAGCCGCGCTAGGTGGGAAACGGAGGGAGAGGAGGTTAAGGGACTCGACTGGATGTCAGGCTTCATCTCAGGGGCTGGGAGGCAAAGCGCGCCCGTCTCCCACCTCCCACGCGCCTCCTCTAACCCACCACGCCGTCTGCCGCAGCTGATGCAGCCAGAAACATCAAGGGATGTTCCCTCCGTGAGATGAAACAGCGGAAAATGAAACCAGATGGATGCAAAGAACTTTGCAAAGATGCTGGTAACCATGGCGATGAGCTGCTTTTTTTTTTTTTTTTGTGTTGGTTTTTTTTTCCCATCCCCTCCATCCCAGCTACCTTCCATCGCCACCCCCGGCAGAGAGCGAGATTTCGGCACCGGTTACATAAGGCCAGGCACAACAATGAGTCAGGCGCGGCGTGAACCTGCCATCGGCCCCTGTGTCCCGGGAGGCCGAGGACGCGGTGCGGGCTTGGGAAGGCAGACAGCATCGCCCCGAGCTGATACCCACATCCCGGCCCCCCCATCAAAAATCACAGCTGCCCCCAGGAAAGCGCCCCCAGCAGAGGGGGGATGCTCAAAGGGTGCTGGGGATTAATCCCAGGAGGATGATTTATTGCCCAGGGCCAGACCTAGTCCCAGAGCACCCATGTGGAGTTTTCCAGCTTCACCCTCCCTGCGGCTGCAATGAATAACCCAGCTGGGAAAAAACAACTTACTGACCTACTTTGGGCTGCAGCGCCTCAGATTTTATACAACTTGATGGCACCATGTCACAGCTGGAGAAAAACAGGATGAGATGCAATGTGGCAGGGTGGAAAGCCCGATGGGGTGATGTGACAGGCAACCACGCGGGGCTGACAGAGAGCCCATGGGGCTGACACCACAGTCCATGGGGTGGTGCATCAGGGCAGACACCCCGTCTGCCCCAGGGATGCGACAGCACGGCGTGGGCACGCTGGTGGCCACGCTGGGATGGGCCGATGGGCCAGCCAAGCTGGCTCTTCCCTTGCCATCCCTGGTCTCCCCTGCCCCAAAGAGCCTCCTGTAGCGGTCCCCTCCTCGCTGGGTCACTGGGGACAGCTGATGTCCCAAGCATTCAGGGGGTGCTGGGAATGACAAAAATATCCCCCTCCTGTCCTGGGGAGCCCTTGAATTAAGGGCAGGAAAAAGGACGGTGCGTTTCTCCATGTCAGCCCCCAGGGCAGCCGTGAACCCATCCCTGCCTAGAGGAGTCCTGGCAAATGTTTGGTCCCAATAACCGAGCTGAGAAACATCGTTTACTGCCAGGGCAGTGCGAGCCGGGGTTGGTGCCAGAGATGATGGCCACAAACCTCCCCATAACCCAAGTGAGTCCCATCGCCGCTCAGCACCTCTGTCCTCCTCCCTGCACAGAGCCCCGAGCCCTCGCAGGGAGTAGCAGGGACTTGATATCCGCTAATTCCTTGCAAATCCTCAGAGGAGAGGTGCCAAAGAGGAGCATGAGATGTGCTGGAGCCAGAATCTGACCTGCCATAATAATTTGTTCAGCTCTAATCCCTTCCCTCCAGGGCTCACAAGTATTAATGATGACACACGACACTCCTGAGGAATAGGCAAATATTATTACGCTCTCCCCAGCCTCCCCCAGCCATTCACTCTCTGAAAGAGGAGAAACTGCAGCAGTGAGAAACACATAAAGACAAGGACTGCTTTAGCACCGATCTCGGATACACGCAAGGAAGTGTTTATGCCGCTTAGTCTGGGTCCTGCAAAGTAAACTTCCCTCTGGGGGAACGTGAAAAAGCCACTTCAGCTGGTGGCAAGCACCTGGATTTATTGTCACGCCTGGCTTCTCTGTCCTGATACAATTAGAGCAGCTCTATCAGGACAGGAGTAAATAGTCGGGAAGGCTTTATCAGTCGTGCAAATAGAAAACCAAGGAGGCAGCCCCGAAATCCTCAGCACAAGCAGGGATGCAGCCTCCCAGGAGGGGGACGACCGGTCCCCATCTGCGGGCAGCAGGACTTCGCCACGGGCCCCGCGGGATGCAGACAAATCACATTCAGTCAAGAAACGGCAGGGCAGGGAAAGCAGAGCGTCTGTAAGACATACGGCAGCCTGGAGCCGCGGCTGGCTGCCTGCCACACGTCTTCTCTTTAGGAAGGAAGAAGACCTTGAGAAACAAAAGATTATGCAATGCACGGCGGAGTAACCTGTGCCTGACCTCCGTGACCGAAATCCCGCTTTAACCCCCTCCGTTTCCCAAACCTCCTGGATTTCCAGGGGGATCGCCCCCCCCTCCCCGGTCCCACCGCATCACCGCAGAAAAGCTGGCTGGATGCAAACGTCCTCCAGCAGCAGGCTGGAAGAAACCATTGCAAGGAGGCAGGAGAAGAAGAAAAACCCTGCCCCCTCCGCTGGGCAGCGATGCGTGCAGGTGCCCCCTCGGTCTCCAACCGAAAATCCAAGCAGATTTGACACACACATAGCAACAGCAGGTCTTCAGTCAGAGCCAGCAATCATTTACTGCAATTGCATCACAACAGAAGCCGTCCCTTAAGTTTTATCACCGGGCAGCTTTTTATCACCCCGCGCTCCAAGCATGCTCAATATAACCGGCTATTGAAGCGTAAGCAATGCTGCGTTGCTGCGAGGCGAACCCTCTCTCCCTGCAACCCCGTTTAATGCCTCTCAAACCCCTTCCCATCATCAGCTCTGAAAAACCACATCTTTTGGCCATTTTGCTCCCCATGCAGAGCACCTTCCATCCCCTCCGTGTCAGCGCATGCCCTACATCACAGCCTGCGCTCCGAGCCCTCCGCACAAAGAGAGAGAAACAGAAGAGGACGCTCACCTCATTTATTGACGAGGATTGTCAGGAGTTGAGATTGCAAATGAAAGGCTTAAATCTTGCAGGAGAGGAAGAGATGCCCGAGGTGGCGGGAGCCTGTGCAGGACGCAGGATGCCAGCGCTGGCAGGCTGCTCAGCTTTTCAGCTCCTCCGATTACATTTTTTTTGCCTGTTTGGTGGGAAGGATGGAGCAATGCCTTCAGCTCAGCTCATCACCTTTAGACCGAAATCTCTCCTTCCATCTTCTCCCCGTGAGCAGCTTCATAACTGAGCTCTGGGGTTTGGGGGTGCTATTTGTCCTTGTAGTCTATAGCCATAGAAAGCCCCTGAAATCCCTCCTAAAGAGGAGGGCTCTCGGCGTGACAGACAAGGAGACTTGCCAGTCAAAGCAAGACCCGGCGCAGCCCGGCTGCCCGCCCATGGGAGCCTGCAGGAGCCAGGGGAGCGGGAGGACTCACCCTGGTTTTTTTGCTCCTTCCAGTGGGATGAGTTACCGAGTTCCTTTTTTACCTTTTACCATTTTCTCGCCATTCAGGTATTTGTGGCTTCCCAGAGGCTGGCAGCGTGTCAGCGCCATGAGCGTGTCGGAGCTCAGCACAGGTGACCATGCACTGAAAGCACAAACACGCAGACCCCAGGGGATGGAACAGGAGAACAAACGTGCAATCACAAATGTTTCCTGGGTTTATTTTCCTTGCCGTAGGTTTGGGAGGGTGGCAGTCGCATCCCCTCACCCCGACCAGCTGACTTCTGGCAGGAACACAACAAACCAGTGCAGAAAAACCCCAGCACTGGTGCCTGCTCTTGGCGATATGTCTGGGCTTGCCTGCAGCAAAGCAATCTGAGGGATCTTGGCAGTGATCAGAGCAGACAGGGAGGATGGCTGAGATCCCTGGGTTACCAGTGACTCACCCTCTGGCCTCCCAGCCAGCCCTCCTCCTTCTCCTCCTCTTCTTCCTCCTGCACCTCATTTTCCTGCTCTGTAAAACACAGATTATCACATTCACCTACTCAGGAACGGGCAGAGGCTGAACTCTCTGTAGGCCTTGGCACACCCTACACGTTGCTGCTCTGTCTACATGTATATACGTTAGAGGACAGAGGGGATCAGAGTCCGGTGCCAGTGCCAGTGTACCCTCTGCTGGGCCTGTCACGGTGCCCGGCCGGGCTTCCAAAAATGGATGCCGACGCTCCACACTGCTTGTCGTGACAATTTTGGGGACAGCCAGAACAAACCCCTCAGGGGTGAGGAGGCCCCTGTGGCGGCAGGGCCCTGGGCCTGGCCTGGCCCCCCCGCCCCGGCGGGGCCCAAACATGGGAGCAGATGCCGCGGAACTGTCCTGGCAAGGAATAATTTAGCCTTTAGGGGAGGCTTTTGCTCTGTCAGTGGCGTGTGACAGGGACGAGCCCCCCCCC